ACAGCTAAGGCAGACTTATCAGCTATTAAGGGCACTGGAGTCCAAACAAGCCCCTGATCTTACCCAAAGGTCCGAGCTTTTCTCTCCTGCTCTGCTCCTCGGAGTGAGTCATGAAAAGATCTGCTTGTTCTCTTGCAGGTTTTAGGATCTGAAGGCAATATCCAGCATTTCACCCTTCAGGAAGTGCTCTGTGCTGGGGTTTGTTCCTGCTCTGGGAGCTGTGGCACTAAAAGCCCTCAGGGAGGACCCTCCACTTTGCCTTGGCACCAAGAATTTCACTTCAGTTGCAAAAGCTTTGCTGAATGGTGTGGGCTTCAGGCTGGTGGTTGAGGGATTAAATAATCATCCTGGAAGTTCTGCTCCTACCTCTGGTTCTTAGATGGGAACCTAGGAGCTGACAACAATCCATCAGCCTTCTGGGAAGGGAGGAGTGCCAGGAGCGGGTCTGGACTGCTGTCTCTTGTTGATGCTTATTTTGGGATCACTGAAGACTTTGTGGTTCTCAGCTGCCAGTTTGGAACCTCTGGATGCGTGGCCAGGCCACAGGAGATGAGTGATGGAGATACTTCTATGTGAGGATGACACAGAACTGTTGGAACAACTCCTGAAATTGCTGAGGGGACTGGAGCAGCTTCCCTCTGGAGCCAGGCTGGGAGAGCTGGGGCTGCTCAGCCTGGAGAAGGGAAGGGTGTGTGGAGACCTCACAGCTCCTTCCAGGGCCTGAAGGGATACAGGAAGGGATACAGGGAAGCTGGAGAGGGACCCTGCATTGGAAACTGGGGTGACAGGACACAGGGAATGGGTTCAGACTGACACAGGTGAAATTCACGTTCCACAGACAGAATTAATTCTTCTCTATAAAGGTGGAGATGTCCTGGCACAGAGAAGCTGTGGCTGCCTCTGGATCCCTGGAAGTGTCCAAGGGCAGGTTGGATGGGGCTTGAAGCAGCCTGGGATGGTGGAAAGCGTTTGGGAGAGCCCGAAATGTGTGGAAAGAGGTGATTTTAAGGTCCCTCCAACCCAAACCACTCTGGGATTCTATTCCAGAACAGAGCTGGGTGTGTTTCAGTCTTACCTCCTCTTTGAACTACACGAGGGCTTAAAACAGAATTAGAAGCTCTACAAAGGTGAGCTTTGAGCAAAAAGCTTCCCCAGCCCTGCTGGAAACTCGCAGCCTCTGCTTTTTGTGCTGCTTGGAATGGAAACCCACTTTGGAAAGGGAGGTATGTCTGGGGACAGCTTAAAAAAAAAATATCAGTCTAACACTTCTTGCTGTGTATTCATATCCTGCTGGATAGTTTCTGGCAAGCTGGAGCAGGCACAATCCTTGGCTGTGTTTTCCCTTTTTAAGGAAGGGTTTTTTTTTTCTCTTTTTCCATGGCCACATTTTGTAGAAGTAAACACTTTTAAACATTTCACGGTGTGGATTTTAAACAGACGGTTGTTGTAGGGATTGGCTGGATTCTTGTATCCATCATCAGATTTGGGGGCAGAGGCTGCAGAATTTTTTCCATACTTCTTATCTCTGAAATCAGCTTAATTCCTTGGGCAGGGATATGGGAGGTCTCAAAAAACAGTGCTTTTGTGCATGAGTTTCTACAAATAATTTGGATTTTTACAGCAGTGATAACTGTAAAAAAAGGTGCCACTGGTTGCAGTAGCTTTGAGCAGGATTTATTGTGTGAGTAAATCAGGAATTCTCATCTCCCAGGGCCCTGCATTTTTACTGCTGTAAGCTTGAGCTCTCTCTGTCTGCTTGGTCAGGTTCCTGTGGATATTTCCTTCCTAAATATGGAGATTTAGGTTATTACTAGTATTTGTTAATTCCTGGTAGGGGAAACTCAAGATAAAATACTCTTTCCCCCCCAAAAATGGCATATTGAAAAGTTTTGCTCAAAGTTTCGAGATGGAAACAGCTAAAAAAATGGTCTTGCTTATTTTTGTCACTGCCAAGTGTGGTTTTTCTTCCCCTTTTTTGCAGGCATCTTCCAGCCTGTCCAACCAGTACATTGCTTTTTGCTTTCCTTACTGGTAGTTTCAAATGGTTTTGCTGCAAAGCTGTGGTAGTGAACACGCTAAAATTCAGACTTGTTTTGCTATAATCTTTAAATTGAACTCTTAATTTCTTCTGTTTTTCCTGATTTGATCTCTGTTTGATCAGCTCTTGCCAGCAGCAGATTCACTGGGGAATGACTCCTGGGTAGCTCCCCTTGACCCCCAGGTTCCTGCAGGCTCCAGTGCAAACTGGGATTGCACCAGAACAGGGTGTGGTGGGAGGGCTTTGGTTTCTGGAAGCATCCCTAGAGGGGTCTGTCAGAAGTTTTTCCATCTGCTCCTAAATTCTTCCCTTCCTTAAAGCCAGCAAGTGGCTTTTCCACATTGAAACGAGCCCTTTTGGGATGAAGAATAACTTTGTGTTCTAATATTTATTGTATGTGCCAGAAGGTGCAAACCCAGCGTAAGGAACATGGCTTTTGTTGCTGTGAGGGAAGAGCCTGGGATGAGCATTGGTTGTGTTCCTTGGAAAATGGGAATTCCTGTTGGATAACAACAGACTGTGCTGCAGGGTTGGGTGTTTTACTTGGGTATTTACTTATTTTCCCCTTGCAAAGCACTGGGGATTAACTTGGGCTGCAAAGCATCCCAGGATGGTTTGGGTTGGAAGGGACCTCAAAGCCCACCCAGTGCCACCCCTGCCATGGGCAGGGACAGCTTCCACTGTCCCAGGCTGCTCCAAGCCCCAAAGTCCAGCCTGGCCTTGGGCACTTCCAGGGATCCAGGGGCAGCCACAGCTGCTCTGGGCACCCTGTGCCAGGGCCTGCCCACCCTCCCAGGGAACAATTCCTTGTCAATATCCCATCTATCCCTGCCCTCTGGAAGTGGGAATTCATTCCCCCTTGTCCTGTCCCTCTATCCCTTGTCCCAAGTCCCTTCTCCAGCTTTCCTGGAGCCCCCTTAGGCACTGGAAGGAGCTGAGGTCTCCCTGGAGCTGTCTCCTCTCCAGGCTGAACAATCCCAGCTGTCCCAGCCTTTCCTCCCAGCAGAGCTGCTCCATCCCTCTGATCATCCTGGTGCCTCCCCTGGCCTCTCTCCAGCAGCTCCAGGTCCCTCCTGTGCTGGGCCCCAGGGCTGGGGCAGCTCTGCAGGTGGGGTCTCACCAGAGCACAGGGACAGAGGGGCAGAATCCCCCATCCCTCAAGCTCCCCACACTCCTGGGGATGCATCTCAGGGGTTTTATTTCCCATCTGCTACAATCCAATATTTTTATTTATCTCCGCCTTTGTGCCGGTGGGTGTTCACAGCAGGGTTTCAAATCCAGCATTTTATGGTCACTGCAAACCTTTAACATAAAGCTTTCCACAGCTCAGCACGGCATCTGTGCTTGCTGGGACAAAGAACTGAATTTCTTTGGCTTGTTGGGGGTGCTGGTGGCTGGCTGTGTTCGGGCTGGGGGAGCAGAGCACCCCCAGTAGAGCTGTGGGAGATGTGTGGATGGACACCCCTGGCTGTGCTTTGCCCCTGAGAGGCAGCACAGCCAGGTTTGTGTGCATTGGGTGTACTTGTAGGCAACTTGTTCAGGTTCTTTTTGCATGACTTCTGCAAATTCAAATGCAATTAGCTTCTTCCTCCTGTTGCCTTATTAATTACCGTGATGGACCTAAACTGATTTGGGACAGGATGTATCACAGAGGATTGTGCCCTCTTTTTAAACTCTTCATCAAGTCTCCAGCACGTTTGGTCATTAATCTTTCAGGAAAACAGGGATGGCATGGTGCCAGGCTGCTTGCTCTGGAGAGGAAAGATGGCAATAACTGCTTTCTACTCTGAGTGACCCTCTGAAGGCAGAGACGTTGACTCCAGTGCTAAGTAAATATTCATGGAAACCCTTCTCCTTCAGACAAGCTCATTTGGAAGCAGTCCTGCTGCCTTACAAATATTGCAGGTTATTTTCTTTGTGCGTTGTTCCTATTAGAAACCCGAACCAGAAAGTACAGAAGAAATACTGTTGGAAAATAAGAGGTAATGGAACAGCTATATCTTGTTTAAAGCACTTATTTGCCGTGGCAGGAGTATGATTTTTAACCATTTTAAATATTTTTTATTCTGTATTACTGGGTAGATTCCTATATTCATGTGTGTGGGATAGCTGCTGTTTTGAAATAATGGTGATGATTAAGGAATGGTGTGGTTTGGAGAAGCACTTATTAGGGAATAATTGGGGACTAGGAGTTAATTCATGTGCTCTGAGGTTCATGTGTTTCTGGGCTGGTGGCAAGGTGGGGATTGGGCTTGATGGTCTGGGAGGGCTTTTCCCACCTGGGATTGTACATTAGAATAAACACAATAGAAAAAAGCCTCTTTATCTGAAATGGCACCTGTGAATTACAGGGAAAGAAAAGCTAATAATAATAATAATAATAAAATAATGTGGAAGTTGCTGAAGGCCTGGCACATGCCAGTGTGAGGGGCTGGCAAGCCACAGTGCATGAGTAATTTTTCTGAATTATTAAGAGTGACGAATATTCTCTCACAGGGAACAATAGAGGCGCTCTGCTTGTAGCTCTGACGTTGTATTTTTAGTACCAACTCATTTTCAAGTATGTCAAACTCAGCTTTTTTTTCTTGCTTTATTCTAAAAGATGGATGGAATATTTCCTGCTGGAAGGGTTTGGAGCTCCCAAACTACGGAGGGTGGTTTAGTCTGTGGTGGGAGGGCTGGAAGGAGATGATTTTTAACACTTTTTTCCAAAGCAGTCCGGGATTCTATGAAATACTCTCATAAATAAGCAGCTGGCTTGCAAGGTGGTTTTGTTCCTCCAGCCAGCACTGTTTAAGGACAGCTGGAGGTGCTTTTCTCACAGGCTTTGTAGTCAAAGTCTCATCTTAACCAATTATCCCTACTAATAAAGCCTATTTTGCTCACATTCGAGCATGACTGAGTTATTTTCCAGCCCTTTCCGTGTGGGTATTTAATTTTAGGATACTCTGATGTGGCAGAGATGAAGCTGTGTTTCATTGATGTCCCAGCCAACATGTTTTCCTTCATGATGATGTATTTTGTGGGGTGGTTAAAAGGGCTGGGATGACTCAGGAGCCCCTGAGCTTGCTCTGATATTCCTGTGTCGAGGATAGAGACTGAATCTGGTGGTTCAGATGTTCTGTTACACATCTGATATCATATTATATTACTATTATTATTAATATAATATTGATGATATTATTAAGCTCTTGAATTCCCTAAATTTATTCACATTGGGTCTGTTTTGCTGCTTCTCCCCCAGCTAGAATCATAAAGGTTGAAAAAGACCTTTAAGCTGATTTAGTCTGAGTTTTCTGGTTCCTTTGCTGTTGTTTGGACCAGATTTCCCAATTCCTCCTCAAATCCTTTCCCATGTTCAATTCCAACAAGAAGAGCACTGTTTTGTGCTGAGGATCTCTACATCCAGAGGGAAGTTTGACTTGGGTCAGGAATTCCCTACAGTCCTTTTGGGTATTCTTGCAGCAACTCCTTTTGAAAGCCTGACTTTATCAAGGAGAAACGAAATAAATTTGGAGCCTTGGAATGAAATAAATGCCTGGAATTGGAATGCAGGTTGACATGATGAACACAAAAACTTTAACTAGGCTTTCTTAGGTGGGCAGCTGGGTAACATTAATTACTAAAGAGCTCGCTGTTATGAGGGTATGGGGAGGCTGAGACCAGAAGAGCAGTCAAGAGCTGAGTCAGGGCACGGCAGGGAAAGCATTGTCTGGCTTTGGCATAGGAGGTGGGCTGAGGAAATGGGGTTATGCAGCACCCAGTCAGCCTTGCACATCCCCAGCTGTGCTGAAAGGAAGACATCCCCCAGGTGCAGGGTTTCCTGAGGGTCCTTATTTGCACACAGGAGGGGTTGGAGTGGCAGTCAGGGATTAGTGTGCGGGCAGATTCCAGTTCTCAGGAATGGTTTTGTGGTGCCCTGAGCCCGCCTCATCCTTGGGCAGCCTGGTCCTGTCCCCTCCTGCCCCTCAGCAGGGTCAGTTCTGGTGGCCTCTGGTGTCCAGAGGAATGAGCTGTGTTGAAACAACCTCCAAACTATCACAGGAATAAAAAGAATCCTAAACATCACCGAGCTGGCTCTGCGGTGGGTGGAACCCTGATCTGCTTCTAACCCTGTGCAAGGACCGTGGTATCCCCAAGGCTGGGCTGGTTTGGGTCTCCTCAAGTCCCAGTTTGGCTCTTTTTCAAGAAGATGTGACCCACTGAAGTGTTTTTATTTGAAAAGTTTGCTTCATTTTCATCTTTCAGCAGCTGAAACCCTCCTGACTGCTCAGGAAACTGCTGGCTGTGAGCAGCTCAGCCCCCAGGGTCAGGACTGAGGAGCTGCTGGAGGTGTTTTAGGGGCTTTAGTTTTGGTCTAGATCAGGATTTAACATCTCAGTTGTCCACCTGCACAAGTGGCTTTAGGAATTTTGTGCCAAATGCCTCCTGTAGCCAATATAGTATAAATAAGCCAATATAATATAAATACTCAGAGAATCCGTGCAGCGTCACCCTTTGGTGTGCTCCAGTTTGTATAATTATTGGAAAATATAATAAACCAAGTTATAAATCTGCTACCCTCTTGTTTGTGCTTCCTTTCAGTTTTGTGTATGGATGATATTCCAAGTAGCTGTGTTTATTGTAGATGTGAAACTTGTAGCTAAAAGAGGATTTTGCAACTCTACGAAATCTATTTTTATTTCAATGCTGGGCATATCTAAAGCTTGTTTACAAAAAATAATTGCAAGTTCACATCTCTTTGTTTAATTTACTTTGTGTATTTTTTTTTCTTTGACTTCTCTGCACATTTTTAGGGAAAACACTGTTTTAATTTCTTTGTGCCCCAGGTCCAAGGAGCTAATAAAGGAAGCGATCCTTGACAATGACTTCATGAAGAACCTGGAATTATCCCAGATCCAGGAGATTGTGGATTGTATGTACCCCGTGGAGTATGGCAAGGACAGCTGCATCATCAAGGAGGGAGATGTGGGTTCCCTGGTCTATGTCATGGAAGGTAGGGTTGGGAAAGATCTTATTTATTCCTTTTTTCCAACACTTAGAGACGAAAACTTTGGTGGGAGAAATGGTTTCGGAGAAAGAGGCTGTCTAAATATGGTTGCTTAAAAATTGTGTGGACTGCTTTTGCCTGGAAAATTCTGCCTGGATAAAGAAAGGAGGTGAAAACTGTTAACCCTGCACTGGAATAAACCTCCCCTAACCAGAGTTCCTGCAATTGGAGGCGATGGTTTGCTGGATAAATGAGGATTTTAAACAGAAGGAATGATGGGAGATGGGGAGTGGCTGTGGAACAAGGAGAAGGTGGTCACAGCCTCCTCCCAGGTGTAAATGCTGGTACAGCACGAGGGGTTCTCCACAGGAGCTGTGCTTGGGAGGATGGAAAATGGTGTTGGTGCATCCTGGGCACAAAGGAAGGGCAGCACCTGTGCTCGAGCACCTCTGCTTTGTCACAGGATGTGCTGGGGTTTCTTAGGGAGCACCAGAGCAGGGCTTTGTCAAAATCTTCTAACAGATGTTGCCAATGCTCTGCATTTCCAAAATCCCAGCTCCTTGTGTTTGTTGTTCTCTTCTTTCCTGGTTCTCTCACTCTCCATGTGTCAAACTGAGCATGTTTTGTGTATATTTGTGGTTTTTATTTTTAAGGCAGTGCGTGTCAGCTGTCAGAGTTACTGAGCTGGATCAACCCTTGTGTGCATCCAGCATCCCTCTCCTCAGAGCAGCTGATCCTGAGTTCTGAGGGAAATATCCCTGTTTTCCTTCCTGGTGTGACTTGGTACCACAATGGATAAATGCTTATCAAATTCTTCTTGCTCCTCATCAGAACTATCTGGTGGACTTGAACGTTTTGGCCAGATAACACCTAAGGGGAGTGGAGGTTTTTCACTTGCCCATCTATATTTTAATATCTTAAATTGTTCTTTCAAACAAAAATCTTTCCAAGGCAGTAAGCCATCCTTTAAACAAGCTTTCCTGCCAAATTCCTCGTGCTGTATAGTTGCAGATACTCCTCACTGGTTTCCCAAAACAACTTGAAGCTTCTGTCCTTTTAAGGTTAAGTCTTTTCTCAAGGCACAGGTTTAATTCCTCTGGTTTTTCATAGTTTTGAATTTTGCACATTGAAATGGTTTTTCTGTGAATTGTGTGTTTCCACCCCCAGCACTACATGGAAACATGTAAGGTTTTCATGGAAAGTTTTAAAGTTTTCAGTCCTCTGAATACAGAGGGTACTTTGAGGTGCAGAATCTTTTCTGTTGATGATTTAAAAAAAAACCAAAAAAACTGCTTTAAAATAATCCTTGAATAATATTTTCTTCCTAGTGGAAATGTGGAGGATTTCCAGCAGTTCTGTGCTGGCTTCCCAAATTCCCCCCACACCAGAGGTTTGCTTATGGGGTTTTTGCTGTCTGGTTGCTTTTGGGATGTTGTGTTCAATGCTGTCCTTGGAAAAAAGCCCTGAGAACGGGACAGGTTGGAATCAGGGTGTGTTTCTCTCCTGCTCAGCCTCTTCCCTCTCCCTGGAGATGATTTTGGGGGGGATTTAGGGGCAGAACTGTTTCCAGCATGGCTTGGGGTACTCAGACAACCCTTTACTGCAGACAGATTTTATCATATTTATGGTTATTATTTATCAGATGGCCACGTGGTGATGAGTGTGCAACAAATGTGTTTTTGTGTTTGTGTTTCTCGGCCACTTGAGGTTTTCCATGTTCTCCTGGCAGCCCTGTGTGTGTGAGGGCACGACTTGGCTCTTCCCTTGGCTTTGTAACTTAATTTAAGATTATTTAGATAGCTCCCTAAATATGCATAATGCTTTGCAAACCGAATTATGGAGAGTTTATAGTCTATGTTTAGACATAATGCAGTGAGTGATGATGAAGTCATGGAAATGGGAGAGGACATTATCAAATAGGTTGGGCTATGGTTATGAGAGCTCATTTTGTTTTATCATCCTGTGTCCTCTCAATTATTAACACAATAAACCCAAATAAAAACTCTGTTCTTTGCAAAACTCCACTGGAGAGACCCATCTTTGAGTATTACTGAGAAGTGTTTTCTCAAAAATCAAATAAATACTGTCCTCCTTCCATTAATTCCTTTTTCCTTCCTTACTTGGGCTCTTGTTCTTCTCTGAGCTGCTTGTGAGAAAAAACAGAGCTTTGAGTCAGGAGCTGAAGCTGAAATTTCTCAGCATGCAGAATCCTGAATTTAGAGCTTCTTTGCTTTTAATAAGTCTAATAAGCTTTATTTTTTTATATTTTTTTTGTATTCTGGGGTGACTTTAGCCACAGTCTGTGTCTTGCTGGCCAAATTCCCACCTCTAGGGATGTGAGGGCCCCTGGTTCAGGCTTTCAGGTGTTGGCCCCACCACAGCCTATTCTTTATTTTATTTATTTATTTTTTTATTTATTTATTATCTGTTCTCTGGCTTCACTCTGCCTGTGCTGTTCCTTCAGCCCTCTGGGAACACCCCTTGATTCCTGTGTGTTCAAAAAATAGCAAGAAACCCCCTCAACTTTTATTAACTGAAATGGGTCAAGAGATTCCCTAAGCCTTGAGCAACACCAAAAATTTCCCTTCCAGCTGTGCTTTGAAGGTGGGAATGAACGAATTTGTGATTGTGACAAGTACCCATCAGGGGCTGAAATTGCTGGCAGCATTAAACATCCCTGCTGTGCCCACCTCCAGCAGGAATATTCCTGCAGGCTGTGAGACTGGGAATGAAAAGGGGGATGAGTGATGCTCTGCCTTAAACTACTCCACACTGGAAATCTGGGCTCTGCAGGGAAAACAATTGTGAGAGGAAAATAAACTGATTTATTGGATGTATTTCCTTTCCTGGGAGAAAGTTGGCTACTCTGAGAGGGGTCCAACAGAATATTTACCTTGAAACTGAGAGTTTTTAGAGCCAAAATAAGTTCTTGCTTATTAATCATAAATGAGCCCGCTACCTCCATATTTTTTTTTTCATTAAGGGAAAAAACTTAAACATTTTCCAAGCTGTAGTTTTGCAGGTTTGCACTTGCTGACTTCACAACATTCCTAAAATTCTGCTGAAAGCACTTAAAAATGTGGCAGCTTGGAGAGGTGTTTCCAGAGAGCTCCACCTCAGATCTGGGGTGTCGACAGGCTGGAGCTGTGCGTGGGTGCCGCCTCACACTGATGAGGATAAATGTTATATCCCACCTCCGACCCCAAATGTTTCCTCTGGCTGAGCTGGTGGCTGCAGGCTGTCAGGTTGGATTAGGGCAGGAAAATTCCTGTGGAGAAATCAGGTGACAAGGTCCAGGATTGAGGCTCTCCTGTGAATAAACCCATCTTCTCGGTGTTTCAGAAACTTTAGTAATAGGTTGAATGGAAGGAATGGAAGGAATAGTTCAGTGATACAGGGGGAAGGGGGAATTCCTTTGATTAACTCTTTTGTGGCTGATTGTTTTGTGTTGGCAGTGGGTGCTGCAAGTGAATTCTGAGGCTGCACCTCTGCACACACCCGGAGAACCTGAGGGAAGAAAAATCCCCTGTGTGCTCCTGCTTCTACTGGCATGGAGAGGGAAGAAGCAGCTTTTTAAGAACCATGCTGAGAACCAGCCCACACTTCCCCCAGCCCCTGATTTAGTAGATTTCCCTCTCCTCTTATATTTAGTTTTATTTTTGTCTTCAGTCATGGGGATTTGCCTTTTATTTTTAAAGGTGACTTTGTCTCTTGCTTCCTTCCTGGTAGTTCCTCCACAGCAAGGCTCTAATTGTGATTTCCCATGGGAACGTGGGTTTCTGGGAGTCTTGGGAAGCAGTGTGTTCCTAGAAACTGTGGGATCTGCTGGGACATGGAGCTGGGTGTTGATAAGGGAACACAAACAAAGTCCATGTGGCCCTTTGAACTATGGAAACAAGTGGGAGGCTGTGCAGTCATCCCCAATGCTCTGTTCAGTCTTGGTGTCACCTCCCTCTGACCCTTCTTTCCTCTCTTCTTATGGATCTGATTTAACAGGACTAATTCCCTTGTAGGGTCCCGTGAGTCAGATCCTCCTCCTGCTCTCAGAAAAGGGCTTGGTGGGACCGATACTTTAAAATGAAAAAATTGTGGAGAACAGAGACTGGTTTTGGATTTAAGGAACATAAATGACCTGAGGGAGGAAAGGCTGGGAGAGCTGGGGGTGCTCACCTGGAGAAGAGAAGGCTCCAGGGACACCTCAGAGCCCCTTCCAGGGCCTAAAGGAGCTCCAGGAGAGCTGGAGAGGGACTGGGGACAAGGGATGGAGGGACAGGACACAGGGAATGGCTTCCCAGTGCCAGAGGGCAGGGATGGATGGGATATTGGGAAGGAATTGTTCCCTGGGAGGGTGGGCAGGCCCTGGCACAGGTTTGGCTGAACTCTGTGTGGGCTGGGTCGTTGTCATGCTCTGGGATCACACCTGGAGAGATGGAGCTGAGTCCTTGAGGTGGGATTTTCCTGCCTGCACAGTGTGGCTTGTCTTGTGTGCCCAAATACTGTCCTTGCTAGGCTTCCTCTGGGAAATTCCTTCCTTTCTGGTGTAGGACCAGGCAGTTTTGAGTGCTTTTTCCAAGTATATTCCTGATAACGTTGCTGATTCTCAGCTCTCTGCATCTCCCAGGGGCACTGTGGAAGGTGGCAACAACAGCGTCCATTGCAGTCAGGGCTTTTCCAACCCAATCGAGGCCATTCTGCTTCCAGGATTTGTTCTGCCTCTCAGAGCAGGTGTTCTGGGCTCTACCTGAGCCTCTGAACCTCCTCTGGAGGGGTCTGGATCTGCTGTCCCAAGCAGGTGTCCAAGACAGCATCTCCCTGCACTGGAGATTGGGGAGCAGTCACTCAGTATCCAGAGGAGCTCCATGTGCAAGGAATCAACTCGAAATTTTCTGCAGTTTCTGCACAGCCTGCCAACAAATCCCTGCCCTCCAAGGAGCCTGCCTTTCCCAGGACTTCCCATGGGGTTTGGGAAAATGTCCTGTGGCAGCAGTTTCTTCTTTGCTCTCCTG